TTTTATTTTGATTTCATACATTTTTACTTATTATCACCTTCAATATACACCCCTCTTCTATCCCTACAACGCTCCATGCGAATCTTCCATTGTTCAAAGCAGTGCTGGAAGTTTTCTTCTGTCAGCTCCTTCAGGACGCGTGCCGCTTTCTCTTTCACAGCTTCAACGGACTCAAATCTTGTTCCTTTTAAGGCAGATTTCACCTTAGGAAACAGATAGAAGTCGCACGGCGCAAGATCTGGCGAATAAGGCGGATGGTCTAACACTGGGATGCTGAACTTGGCTAGAAACCTCTTGACAGACAATGCGGAATGAGCCGGCGCATTGTCTTGGTGGAGAACCCATGACTTGTCCTTCCACAATTCGGGTCGTTATCAATTCGTACAGTTTCAGCAATCGCACGAATACTTAACCGACGGTCAGATCGAATCAGATTACCGATTTTTTCGATATTGTCATCAGTTTTTGACGTGGAAGGGCGACCCGGGCGTGAATCATCTTGAACATCTTCTCGGCCATCTTGAAAACGCTTAAACCATTCAAAAACAAGTGCGCACGATAAATATTCATTGCCATACACTTCTTTCAATAAATTATATGTTTCAGTAGCAGTTTTTCCAAGTTTCATGTGAAATTTCACAACAATTCGTTGCTCTACTGTTACACTTAACATTTTTCCGGCGAAACAAAAAAACAACTCTAATACGAATGAAGGCTACGGCTATACTGATTTGTTTACAGAAGCGAGAGGCACTGCATTCGAAAGAGAAGGCTTCACGATAACAGCTGTGGCTTGCTGGCGTTTGGCGCATGCGCACTTCTTCTGTAGCAGCATCAGTCTCGTTATTTAATAGCCACACCTCGTACATTGTTTAACGTGTCAAAAAATTAATTTGCTGCCTTTAGTTTCACTCATTTCTAGCAAGTAGCACTTATTCTCTGAAGACTTAGCGTGCAAAATCAAGAGCTTGCTGTGAGGTTAAGAATAACTTGTCAATCACTATCTCTTCATTTTCCATTGATAAATAAATCTTGACTATAAAACATAAAATCATTTTAATACAGAATTTATACAGATATGATTCTTTCTGTGTATTTGCATGTGTGAAGTGACACTTAATGGTCTTAAT